GGGTCCGAGCGTGTTCTGCTAGATGCATTTCTTACAATACTTTCCGTGCACAGTCGGTTGAGTTCTGGGATGGATGCGGAACACACCGAGACGGCCGGCCGACTCTCCCATCTCCCTCCTGTACGTGTATACTACGAGAGCATTGCATGTATGACTCACCCTCAGCCACAGACGGACAGAAGTGATTAGTAATAAAAATAGAACCATGCGGACAGCCATACTGTAATCCAGATTATTCAAAGCTATTTCTGGAAAATGTTCTGTGTGATATTTTCAGACAGAGGCTGATGGTAGGAAGCAAGTCTCAGCAACTGTAATGGCAGAGGGGCCTGACAGTGGTACACACACACACACACACACACACACGCACACACACACACACACACACACGCACACACACACACACACACGCATGCACGCATGCACGCACTGACCCTGCAAAACACCCACATCTCCGCCATCTCTGGAGACCGGAGATTACAGCGTTCTCATTTGACCTGAGAGCAGATTGAGGGGCGCAGAGCTGGTGTAAGAGGCTTAGCACCGCCCGGCCAGTGACGTGGGGAGCTGGCGCTGGCTTCGGGGCTCAGCCCTGGCACCTGCCAGCAGCAGCGCATTGCTATTCTCCGTGCCTACCTGGCTTGTTAACATTCGTGTGCAGTCGGCCTCTCTCCTGCCTCTAATCACTCTGATGCCTCCACTTATTTGCCATTTTGTGCCACAGGTATCTGATTACAGCGTTCAGCTCAGGCTGCTTTTTTTAGGAGCTGGGCAGTGTTTGGGTGGCGGTGTTTGAAAGTCCCCTGTGTTAAAGACCTGCCCAGCAGGGAGTCGCAACTCATCTGCGTCCACCCTGCAGCCCAGAGTCTCCGGACTGGTGGTCTGGGGCCAGATTTTCCTCTTTCTTAGAATAGTGATGGTGACAGCCATCGAGTTCCGCCAGCACAGGCGCAGCGCATCTGTTGGGTGTTATTTTTTATTTATCTCTTTTTGCTCTTGTTTGTTTGCATGTTCGCTTTCCCCTCCTGGGCTGAGGATGCAGGGCCTTGCACACGCTAGCCAAGTGCTCTGACACCGAGGGACAAACCCAAGCCCTCCGTGGTTTGAGAAAGGGTCTCTCCATGGCTGGCCTCCAACGTGGGAGCCTCTTTGCCTCCGCCTCCCTAGGGCCGGGATGACAAGTGTGCGGGACAGTGCTCAGCAGCTCGGCTGCTTCTTAGTAGGGGCCTCTGAGTCTCGGCCTCCTTGCTGCCTTTCTTCTCACGGAGTTCTGTGTGACTTTGCGATCACACTCAGCCCTTGCTCTGTCCTCGGAACAGCTGTCTGGCCTCCCCTCCTCCCGCCTCACTCCCCCTCGGCCCTGCCAGCCACTCTGTGCGTGTCGCCTTTCTGTGGCCGTGGCTATTCTCTCTCCCCCTCAGCCCTCCCTAAAACAGCTGGGCTGCGGAGCTGTGTTCTTTGCAGCTGTCCAGAGCCACCGTCTGAGCCAAGGACACCTTCATGTAAACAGAGGAAGTGGTTTGTTAGTGTGGCTGCCTCTGATTTCCCAGTGCCGTCTCCCAGCCCTCCCCCACAGGAGAAGCACAGCTCTCGGCGTGTCTGCCTGTGACCCTACATTGCTTTCCAAAACCAGAAAGCTTACAAAACAGTCTTCTCCACCAGCCACCAGTGGCTCACGCCTATAATTTCAGTTACTCGGGGGGGGGGGGGAGAGGGCTGAGATCTTGACGATCGCAGTTCAAAGCCAGCCCAGGCAGGAGAGTTGGTGAGACTCATTTCTAACTGACCACCCACTAGCTGGCCGCAGCATTGTGGCTCCAGTGGTAGAGCACTAGCCTTGACCAAAGGAAGATCAGGGACAGCGCCCAGGTCGTGAGTTCAAGCCCCAGGACCAGTACTCCCCCCCCCCAAAAAAGGGAGAAGCTTTCCTCAGTATCGATGTCCAAATCTTTTCAAAGCTAAGCAGGGCTCAGGGCCTCGCACCAGACTTCTCCAAGTCCCTGTCTCTACAGAGGGCAGGTGGAAATAGCAGGATGGCTTTGAATCATCTGCTTCTCCTCTGCCCTCACTGTGTGACCCAGGGAGTGTGTTGCTCTCTCTGAGCCTCCAGGGTTGGTAATGTTTTGTAGCGAGCCCTCAGGAAACATCCACCCCTCAGGACCACGGTGGCCACTCTTCTTCAGAACCCATTCATTCATTCATTCATTGATCCAGAGACTGTGGCAGGAGGCTGACATGGTTGAAGGGCATGGCAAGATCAGATGGTGTGTGGTTTTTGTCAGCTGTTGGACATTTTGTTGGATGTGTATTTGTGTAGTTTGCTGTGCTTGAGTGGATCGGCAGTTGGATATGGATAGATGGATGAGTGAGTCATAGATGGGTGGGTAGATGGGTAGACAGGTAGATGGATCGATGAATGGATGGATGGGTGTGTGGATAAATGGATGGATGGATGGGTGGATAGATGGATAGGTGTACGGAAGAACAGACAGATGGATGGATGGATGGATGGATGGATGGATGGATGGATGGATGGATGGACGGATAGATGGTTATATGGGTAGATGAAAAGATGTATCAGTATTGGTCACCTAGAATCATCTCCCATCTAATACAGAAATTCTGTGATAACTGTGACCATTTTGAAATTCAACCCCATAACTATCTTAGAGATATTTCGTTAATAAGCACCATCGTTACCCACTTTCCCTTCTAAGCTGATGAAGTCTGTGCTCGTGGCTTAGTGTGATGATGTGGTCTGTGTTTGTGGTTGAGGACATTGTCTTTGGAATGAGACCTGGCTTGAATCTCAGCTTCACTAACTGAAGTCGTGTAACCTTGAGCAAATGCTTTGTAGTGTCTACACTGTGCTTTCTCAGTGAAGAACAGGGATAACAGCATCACCCTGCGGCCCTGTGCCCAGGATTCATGAGAGCTAGTGACTGTCAAGGACAGGTCGGTGCTCAGTAAAAGGCATCGTGATTGGCCCAAGCCAACGCGGGTCCTCCTATCGCTTCTTTTCATCAAGAAGCAGGCCTGTGGCAAGTATGCTTCTGGTGTTGCATACTTGATGGCAAACGTGGTGTTTGGTTCTAGCGTGGCATTCACACAGTAAACCAGAAAACAGACGACCAGTTTCAGCTTCTGTTAAATACTATGCAGAACATTGAAACGGGTATGGTGAACGATGGAAGGCTAGGAGGCGAGGACAGTTCTGTGGGGACGGCGAATTAATGACAGGAAGACCCAGCCCTGGTAAGATCTGGGGAGAGGGTTCTCTAGTAGGAATAGCCTGTGACAAGGTCCTGAGGCAGAAGGAGCTTGTTGAAGGGAAAGCAAGATGGCAGGGAGTAAGATGGAAGGTGAGTTAGGGCAGAGCCCCAAGGATCTTCTCTCTCAGGCCATGGGAGATGTCACAGTGAGTTAGGCAGACATCACCCGAGTTCATTTCACCTGTTCTAGAAGGAGTCGTCTCTGTTTGGCAGCTATTTGCTTTCTGATGACAGCTGACTGGCTGCTGAGTTCCTGGCCTCTGGGCAAAATGGTCTCCATGCTCAGGTGTTGGGGACACATGGCAGTACTGTCCTGACAATATTCTGGATCTTATCAGCACAGAACACACGAGGAAGGCAGCTCGGCCCAGAGGAGCTCAGGCCAAGGCCAGACATCAGAGGTCTGGCTGGAGTCAGCCCTGTGCCACACCGAGCCAGGACGCTGGGTTTCTTGGAGCTCTTCCTCTGGAGCATTTATTTCTAAAGGGAAGGAGGAGAGAGAGAGACAGACAGACACAGGAGACAAGACTACTTCTAGAGCCATTTACCAGCTGGGATCTGGTGTTGGATCTGGCTTTAAAAAAAAAACAAACAAACCAGTAGCAGGGGCTGGGAAGGTGGCTCAGTGGTAGAGTGCTTGCCTTGCATGCATGAGGCCCTGGGTTCGATTCCTCAGCACCACATAAGCAGACAAAGCTGGAAGTGGTGCTGTGGCTCAAATGGTAGAGCGCTAGCCTTGAGCTGAAGAGCTGAGGGACAGCGCCCAGGCCCCGAGTTCAGGCCCCACAACAGACAAAACACAAAAAGCAAAAACAGTTACATATGAGGAGCTGCGGCCTGGGTTGTGCCAGGTTGGACACTGGCCAATCCCAGGGCTCACGCAGGTGGTCAGGACTTGGACACAGGGGACTGTTCTCCAATAATAGATTTTCTTCTGGCAGCTTCTGTCCTTGAGGGAACCCAGAGGCTCTCATGGTCTTCCAGTATGATGTCCAACAGAGCAGAAACTCTCTTATCTAATAAATAGTTCAACAACAACACAGTGTGGAGTTCTCTTCCGGGCTAATTAGCTTGCTGGGGGTCACACATCCAGTCCTGAGGCCAGAGAGAGGCAGTGCTCTGATTGGCCACAGGATGGGCCCTGGGTTGATCATAGAGCCAATCCCCTGCATCCCTGAGCTCAGGCCCTGAGAAGGGGCTCAAAAAGTATCAGCTGATAAGACCACAAGATGTCTGACTCCAGTTCTCGCTAACAATGCCAGACTGGACATTTGGAGACGTGTGCAGAGTTTAGATCGCCTGTACCCATTCCTTCAACAATGGAAGGCAATTGCAAGCAAGCAAGCAGACAAACGCACTGGCTGCTGCTAAGAAAGGAAGAATGGGCACAGTGTGTTAGCTTAGCCTCGTGGTAGCTTAGCTTGCCTAACCCGGAATTCCCTTGACGTCCCCCATTTCCTGCCTGTGCCAGCGAGTGAATACTTGTCAGTGTCCCCATCTACCAGCCGTCTGAAGCGCCTTTTGTGCCCAGACAGCAAACACCAGCTTAGATGTGCTTATTAGTTAAGTTGAATCAAGTTTCAGGGCCCCAAAATAACTCCTGGGCCTCTTAAAGAAAGACTGCAGAAATAATAATAACAAACAACAGCATCAGCAAACATCCCCACTCTTCACGGTGCAGCCGAGCCTTGGTCTCACCTCTGCTGTCTTGGCTCTTCTACCCCCCAGGTAAAGCCAATAGGAATGTCCAGTGGGACGAGGACTCTGTGGAGTACATGCCGGCCAACCCAGTCAGAATCGCCTTCGTCCTGGTCATCCACGGCCGGGCCGCCCGGCAGCTGCAGCGCATGTTCAAGGCCATCTACCACCGGGACCACTTCTACTACATCCACGTGGACAAGGTGAGGGCTGGGCTTCATCCACGATCTGCGCTCTCTCTCTCTCTCTCTCTGTTCCCTCCTGCTGCCCCACGAGTCCAGGCCAAGGCTCAGAGGCTGCCCAAGAGCACGTGTTCCTGAGGTGCTGTGCAAGCATGTATGAGTGTGTACGTGTGTGTGTGTGTGTGTGTGTGTGTGTGTGTGTGTGTGTGCACGTGCACATACTCAAATGCTGGCTTCAGACTTTCCAGCTGTGACTTTCCACTCTCTCCATAAACAGTGTTTTCCTCTTTTTTTCTTTCTTATTCTCATTTGACACATAGCAATTAGACATCTTTCTGGGGTATAATATGCGATTTCAATATCTATATACACGGTGAGCCAATCAGCCTGGGATGATTAGCCTATCCATTTCTCTCTGGTGAGATCATCTAGAATCCTCTTTGGTGCCTTTTATTTGGCAGGGGGGTGGGGGTGGGAAACTCACCGCACTGCTGCTACTTCGGTCGCCACGTGGACAGTGCAATCCAAGCAACACTTTCATTTCTTCCATCTCTCTTCCTCTCCTTGCAGTGCTCCCTACCTGCCCCCCCCCAAGCTTTGTTACACCAGCTCTTCCCAGGTCCCCCCTCCCCATTTCCCTATAAAAGTCAACAAGTTTGGGCTCCTGGAGCCACTGCTACTTAATACTATCCTTGTAGTGTAGCAGCAACTACGAGAAATGTCAACAAAAGGGTGTGGCTGACTGCCAATAAAACTTTATTAACAGAAGCCCACAACCAACACGATTGTGTCTCTCACCAAGAAGGCAAAGGCAGGGAAGGGTGCTGAGCATGGTAACACACACCTGTAACCCCAGCACTCAGGAGGCAGAGGCAGGAGGAGGGTCAAAAGTTTGAGGCCAGTCTAGCCTACAATAGCAAAGCCCTGTCTCCTAAAAAACAAGAGTTAGAAGTAGACTAGCTCACCCCAGGCTCTGGATTCTATCATCAGCACTGCAGAGAAAGGAAAGAGTATCCAAGATTTTCATCTAGCCCATCTGTCCACAGCAGGCATCGGAGGGGGTGAGGACGGGGTGGCGGGCAGTTAAATTCCACATGCAGAAACTCTGCCTCGCAGATTCTTAGCAAGTGCACCCAGCCTTTTTAGCTTTAAAAAAAAAATAATTAGAACTTAGGGCCTGGCACTGTCCCTCAGCCTCTTCGTGCTCATGGCTAATGCTGTACCACTTGAGCCATGGCGCCACTTCTGGCTTTTTCTGAGTAGTTTATTGGAGATAAGAGTCTCACCGACTTTCCTGCCCTGGGCTGGCTTCGAAGCATGATCCTCAGATCTCAGCCACTCAGATCTCAGTAGCTAGGATGACAGGCGTGAGCCACCATTTCTAATGTGTGCAGCGTGCATCTGAGAAATTGCTTTAATGAACCCAATGAAGTGGGTGTAGACCAGTATGGTGCAGAGTGCCTGGCTTTACCGGCCTGAGCCTAGAGAGCTGTAGCTCGGGGTGGGGCTGAGGAGATCTGTGAATGGTGAGGGCTCCCCGCTACCCGGGGCCAGGCCAGTGACATGGGGCAAGCGTGTGGTGCTCACCCAGTTCCCCCAGCAGGGAAGGGGCCTGCGGGAAGGTGTGGTGCCTGAGGTTTTTCTGGGCCGCTGAATGTCACCCTTTCTCTCCCGGGAAAAGCGCTCTAATTACCTGCACCGGCAAGTGCTCCAGTTCGCCACACAGTACAGCAACGTGCGTGTCACCCCCTGGAGGATGGCTACCATCTGGGGCGGAGCCAGCCTCCTGTCCACCTACCTGCAGAGCATGCGCGACCTCCTGCAGATGCCCGACTGGCCCTGGGACTTCTTCATCAACCTCAGCGCGGCCGACTACCCCATCAGGTGAGGCCACGGGGTGGGGCTTTGGGGCGGGACGGTCAGCCAGGGCGGTGGGCCTGCCGCCCCTTGCTCCTCCCTCCTGGGGACACAAGTGAGGCGTGGGAAGGCGTAGGCCTTGGTGAGGTGCTGCAGGGGGGCTCGCTGCTGTCTTTGTAGTCCTGATGCTGACCCCCGCCCCCATTCCTTCACTCGCTCGGCATTTATGGTGAGGGAAAACAACAGGAAACAAAACCAACAAATGGTGCACAGAGGGCACGCGCGGGGAGAGGCCAGGAGGGGAAGGGCTGGAGGCTGATGTGGGCTCGTGCCCTGTGTGTGCTTAAAAAAGAAAAAGGCAGCATTGCTCGAGGGGTAGAGTGTCCAGAGGTGAAAGGTCAGAGAAAACCGGGGCCAATGCAGGAAATGTGCTGTCATTCTGAGCAAAATGGAAGCCACGAGCCCACTGGGAACAGAGGACGGGCTGGCCCCGAACTCGAAGCGGGCAGAATGGAAGAAGGAGGCTGTGTGCCTCAGCCTAGGCCATGTGAGGCCTGTGGGTTCATGGGCTGAAACTGTGGCACCTTCTGCCCACTTGTGCCAGCCACGTCTCCAGACCTGTCCCCTCCACGAGGGAGGACCAGATCACATGCACTGTAGAGCCACCATTTCTTTTCTTTTTTTTTTTTTTGATGGGTCCTGGGGCTTGAACTCAGGGCCTGGGCACTGTCCCTCAGCAGTGCATCCAGCTTTTTTGTTTTTTGTTTGTTTGTTTGTTTTTTATTGTAAAGCTACTATACAGAGGGTTACAGTTACATGAGTGAGGTAATGAGTACACTTCCTCTTGAACATTGTTACCCCCTCCATTGTTTTCCCCCTACCATCCCCTCCCTCCCTCCCTTCCCCGAAGTTCTTTTTTTTTTTTTTTTTTTTTTGATTGTGATTAAATGATTACATAATTTCAAAGTCACAAGTTCATTCTAACTTCCCTGGAGCAAATTGTCTACCACAGTCTGTAATATATAACAGTGTTCACATGTTATATACCATATTTGTGATCAGCAGCATGGGGATATTTAGTAGTGGTTCAACCAGATGAGCGGGAGTTCTTTGTTTCTTAAGTCCTGTTAGTTTTGTCGTATCACCTAACCTTTTGGATTTAGCATCCCCTTATCAGGGAGACCATGTACCGTTTGTCTCTTCGTTCTTGGCTTACCTCGCTCAACATGATTCCTTCTAGCTCCATCCATTTCCCTGCAAATGCCATTATTTTGTCATTTCTAATGGCTGCATAATATTCCATTGTGTATAGATACCACAATTTTTGGATCCATTCATCTGTGGTGGGGCATCTAGGTTGTTTCCATATCCTAGCTATTGCGAACAGTGCTGCAATAAACATGGAGGTGCACGTGTCCTTGTATATTGGTTCCTGTTGTTCAGGGTAGGCATCCAGCTTTTTTGAAGTAGTTTATTGGTGGTAAGAGTCTCATGGACTTTTCTGCCTGGGCTGGCTTCGAACCACAGTCCTCAGATCTCAGCCTCCTGGGTAGTAAGGATGCCCGGCGTGAGCCACCATTTCTAATGTGTGCAGCGCGTAGCTGAGAAATTTCTTTAATGGACTGGATGAAGTAGGTGCAGCCCTCCCCTCTCCCAGGAAGGACCGGGTTCAGAAATGCCCGGCTTGCTGTGCGGGGCTGACGTGGCATGCCCTCCCTTCAGCTTCCACAGCAAACCCAGTCACAGGTGGAGACACTGAGGCCCAGCAGTGCAGAGAACCAGTTCTGACTGGTTGTTGGGCTGGGGCTTTCTCTGTCTCAAGTGAACCTCTTAGCTACAGTCAGCAGGCTCAGGCTAGAGATCGCCTGGGACGCCTGGTAAACACGGATGGCAAAGGTGGAGGCCCTTGAACTTGCGGCTGGGTGGGAGATACTTGTCCCAGGGCAGATGGTGTCCCTGAGTCTGAGCAGCTGCTGCTTCAGGTTCCCGCTCTCCCGGCCCCCAGACCTCCTGTGAGCCCACAGAGGTCAGGTCAGCCTCAGGGGGTTCAAATAGTGTCACTCAGCCAGAGACTGTTGGAGGCCAGGCGAACGTGCCCGCTGCTGCCCCCTAGAGGTGCTGTGCTGCACTGACTGCAAGTTGAGGTGTAACTGGGCAGGTGTCCTTTTCCCTGGGGAGAGCTTCCCCTCTCCCCAGCTCTGCTCAGCCTCCCAGAGGATGATTCCGGGGGCCAGGGAAAGGGGGGGGCATTCACATCTGAATTCCTCTCTCCTGCTAACCGACAGCGAGCCCACCGGCACGCACCGGACTTCCTGGCCTATTCTGAGGTCCAAGGGAAGATGAGCAGCATTTCTACAGCTCTGTTAGCATCTGGGCTGCATCTCTGTTGGTCTGGCTGCCTCTTCCTCTCCCTGCTCTCTTCATGATGCTGCCCAGGCTGCCCGTGCACACGTGCACACACCCCCTCTCCCGCTCAGCCGGCCTCCCCCACCAGAGGTGCTCCGTGCAGTAGGCACCAACAGCTCCGCTCGCTACTGCTGCCACGAAGTCGCCACACACAGAAACATATGAATTTTGCAGATGAATGGTTCCATCCCGGGCAACTCTGATAGGTTTTTCAGTCCCCATCTGCTGCTCCATCTGTAGCTTCCAAAATCCACCACCTCTCCATCCCAGGAAATTGAACCAACGTAGGAGCCTTCTTGAAGGGGCGGCAGGAGCCCCCAAGGTAGCATCGTCAACAGTGATCTCAGAACTTAGGCATCTCCGCGAAGCCCACTGCACCTCCCCAGGCTCCTTACCCTGACTGGGGTCAGACTGGCTTCCTGGGCACTAGCCTCATTTACGCCCCAGGCATAGATGGCTTGGATTAGGCTCTGCCTATACCTCTGTGGCCATGTGAACTGGCATACATTTTCTCCCATTTTGTACATCTCCATTTTTTTCCCCCTCCATAAAACGAGCTGCTGGGAGAGGAACACAACACCTAGAGGTAGAACACGGTGCCCAATACACAGCCAGGGCTGGGTGGGAAGGAAGACGCCAAGAATATTTGATGATGGTGCTAGCTCTGGTAGCAGGTACCGGTCCTTCTCCAGCCCTGTGTCTGAACAACAAGAGGGAGATTGAGAGCAGAGAGCCAAGGCTCCGCCCCGGGCTCTCATTCTGCGTGTGGGGTCTGCCCAGGAGCGTGCACGCAGAGCAGTGAGCATGCGTGAGAACCCAGGCCCTGATTCTTCCGCCTCTTGGGGATCCATATTCACAAAGGATGGCCCAGTCAGGGGCCCGTGTAGACACAGAAGTTGTCTCCTCTGCCTTGGGGTGCCAGCGGGACCGGGTGGGAGCACAGAGCTTGGAGAGGTCTTTTGCCATCCAAGCCCTCCGGTTTGGAGCTGCTCAGGGTTGGAGAGCGCTCAGGCCAGCTGGGACACGGAGGCTGGAAAAGGCCCGTGGATGCGTGAATGGAGATGGCGTACCCCCATCGCTCAGCACGTGTTCCCGGAGCAGCAGCTCCAGGTCGGCCACGTGCTCTCCAGCCACCGGGAAAATCAAATCCGGTTCCGAGCCTCATTGCGGTGGTTAAGGCCCGACCACCCGGGGCCCAAACCCAGCTCCTTCATTCACAAGTTGCGTGAACCTGAACTTGAGCGAATTACCCCTTACCCTTGTGCCTCAGGTTCCCCATCTGTAAAAATGAAGTTTCACCTGAGTTGTGTGCCAGGGGTTGGCGAACACTCGCTAAGGACTGTCTGTGTGATGATCGTGGTGATTAATAGGAAGAAGGGAAGGCCGGCACAAGGATGCGTGCCTGCAGTCCCAGCGGAGGCAGGAAGATCACAAGTGTGAGGCCAGCCTGAGGCTGCATACAAGACACTAGCTCAAAAAGGAGGGCACAGGGAGACACTGAATGCCACAGTAATGAGCATGCCATTCACTCACAAAGATGAGGGGTCTTTGAATCTCCCAGCCTTGGGGTGGGGGTGGGAAGGACCGTGAGTTCCCACCGGGATGTAGCCAGGGCCCTGTGATGTACCCCACAGCATCTCCTGGCTGAGTTCCCAGAAGCCCTGCCGGGGGTGAGGGGGTCTCGGGAAGGCGATCCAGGGAGGCCAGGTGGCCCTCGGCAGGTCTCAGGAGCTGGAAGGAGGCTGCGTGACCGGAAGGCACAGAGCACAGAGCCTACAGGGAGCAGAGCGGGTGGGCGGGCCCAGCACCACCTCACTGTCCATCACCTGAGGGGGCGTGGCTTGGCCAGTGAGCAGGAGGCCTTAAGGGGAGCCATTCATGGAGCTGTTGCAGGCCGGGCGGCCCGTTAGGAGGCAGCAGGCTCTGCTCTCTGTGCTCACAGAACCGTGGTCCTCCAAACCTCCTGGCAGCACATATACCCTGGCAGCAGTAATGAGCTCCCAGAATCCAAGCAGCCACTTAGTCCCTCAGTCACACAGAGCCAGGCAGCACCTTCTGTTTGGGGACCACGAACCTCACACCTGGACAGACAGCCCCATTCACAGATCCACAGAGCGTTTCAGCTGGAGACAGAGCAGGGAACACAGCCACCCAGTGGCCCGGAGCAAGAGTCATAGGAGAAGTGCACTAGTTGTAAGACAGCCTAAGGATTAGAAAGAGAGCGAAGCAAAAGAATGTGCCAGAAAACATTTGAGAGACCCTCTTTGTTTCCTGCCCTTGATTTTTTTTTTTAATCACGGTCGGGCTCCTGTGGCATAGACAGCACTGCCATCGCCGCCATTTTTAAGTGTGCGGCTCTAGTGGTATCAAGTATCTTCACGCCGATGCACAGGCATCTCATCCACTCAGCTGCAGAAGACTTTTCACCTTGCAACATTGAGGTTACTCGTTGAACAGCTCGCTGTTCCCTCCCTCCTCCTCCTCCATTCCTGGTGACCACCATCTTTCCGTCTCTATGAACTGGATTCCTTTACATGTTCTATGTAACTAGTCACCTCGTACTTGTATTTGTGACTAGCTTATGGCGTTCAGCAGTGCGTCCTCAGGGGTCACCCAGGGGG